GAATGGCCTTCTATCTTCCTCTCCTTACAAAGACCAAACAAAAGGAAAGGGCAGAAAAGAAGCAGCACAAAAATTGGGGTCACACACAAAGATCTTCCCAATTACAAGGCACAGTTCCCAGAGCATGAGTCTTGCGTATCTGTTGGGGTTAGGAAAATCTTTACAGTCCTGATCTGGGAGGCAGGGAGCTGGCTGCCGGTATAGCTCTACTCTCTAGGTGACTTAGCCAAGTATACTCCTTTCTGTGCATTGGTATACCTAGCAGTCCACTGCAGGATTGGACAGGATGATCTAGGATGGCCTGTCAGGAGAAGCAAAGAGCAGCAAAGTTCCAAGAAGGCAGATACCCATTCCCATGTGGTTCTAAGGCTCACATACTAGATGCTCCCAGAAGGCTACAGGGATACACCCTTCACGGTGGATGCACACATACACACAGACCCCGAGGCTCAATCTTGCAGTTATGGATAGGTGAAGGCAAAAACCTCAGGGAATGCAGCTAGTTCTGTTAGGCCCTAGGGTGTGTGTCTATGCTTGTGCGTCTGTGAATGAGGTGGGGATGAAGAGGTGGATTAAACTTCTTTTCCATGGATGCGTGTGCCTTCGTAATCTCCATAGGTGTGTGTGTGTGTTAATGTTGTAGAGTGTGTGTGCGTGCGCGTGCGTACATGAGACAGACAGATAAGAGAGTAAGGATATTGTGCCAAGCTGTGTACAACAAATGTGTAATCGCATTGGGTGGGGTTGGGCAGTTTTCATTCAATTCTACAAAATCCTATCACTTCCCGTCCCCTGCTGCCTAGATGCTGAGTGCTGGGAATACAGGATAAATGATACAGGAATGGGGGATTAGAGGAGCAAGGGGTGGGGGCGAGGGACTTGCTGAGACTGGGGTGCAGGAGAAAGACAGCTTGGAGTCAGACCCAGCTTTTCCTTGTTAACTGGTACCCTTTCCTGATCCTCAGTCCCCTAACCTGTCAAATGAGGAGAATCTCAATACTTGCTTCCAGATGAAGGCTGCAGTGAGTGGAAGCAGGGGCTACATCCACAATCATAAATTTCATTCAAATTCCAAAAGCCAAGCCTGGTGGCCCAGGAGCAAAGGGCAAGATCCTCAAGTGGGAGTCCTGAGTGTTGGGGTCTGGCCCTGCATCCACCACTAATTCACTATGTGACTTGGGCCTCTAGAGTCTTAGTTTCCACATAAGCAAATGGGGCCCTAACTATGTGAAAACCAATTTAACAGGAGTCCCTAAGGGTTCTGGGTAACCTTCCTTGGGCTATTCCTGACCCAAGCAGAAATAGGGGTGGGCAGCTCAGGGATACCAGGATTAGGAGTCTTCCCCCCCACCCCCCAGGAGCTGCCATCAGCTCTTCCCCTTCCCATTCCCATAGCTTCTGACCCGGGGGACAAGGCTGCTGGGAGGATGTTTACAGATCCTTAAACCTTCACACACAGAAAATCTGTTGTGTAGCGGGGGCTGGGAGCAGCAGCCTCTTGGAAGAATGAGGGAGACGGGCCCTCTAATTCCAGAAGGGAGGCTGGTGTGGCCCTACAGTGGGTACAGCCAGAGAGCGGGCATTTCCCAAATCCCTCAGTGGCCTCGGAGGACAAGGTGGGCATTGCAGGGCTTGTGAGGGGTTGAAGGCTTAAACAGGGACAGGGTGCAGCAAGGGGGACAGGGGCTTGGTGACTGGAACAAGGACCTAAAAAGAGGAAGGGAAGCTTAGAGAGGGCCAGGGATCCTTCATTCTGGATCTCAATAAAGAGAAGTCTGGAGTCAGCAGGTCCCACTCCTCAAGGGCCCCGACTTACTTCTGGGCAGGTTGTGAGGCCCATAGGGAAATCGCTGACCAGTGTGAAGGAAGTATCTCCTAGAGCAGATGGATCCTGCTCATTCCAACACCCTCCTTCCTGAGCCCTCTCTCCCAGTTTCTTCTGATAGGGTCTGAGTGCCTAGGAAGGGGGTCCTAGCTAACTGCACACACTGAATGCCACTCATTGGGCGCCTGAGGAAGACGGTGGAAGGGGAGAAAGACTATGACCAAAGTGCAGCAGCAGGAATAGAAGTCCACCAGCAGGAAGTACTTCTTGGCAAGAATGCACACAACACCCTACAGTGAGTGGCTGAGAAACCCCACATCTGGAGTGCCTCAAAAACAGGAGAGGGCTCTGCACAGGCTCCTTCCCCAGCCCCAACAACTATCCCTCATACTCAGACAGGCCCTTGCAATTTACCAAGCTCTTTCCCACCCATTATCTCATCCAAGAAGGAGGCCCACAGGTTGGGGCTTCCAATCTCTGTGGCAACCTGGCCATCTAAAACTCAGAGAGGACCAGCAATCAGTCCAAGGTCACACAGCATGCCAGAGGTGAGGTTGCTAATCCCTTAATTTCTAAGGTGAATGACCAGTTTCCTGAGATATGTGAACCTCTGGCCGTTTTCATACTGCATTTCCTCTACCAGAGTTCCCAAAGAATGTCTCAGCCCTGGGCTCCTGGAGACAAGTGGTCAGGAGAAGCTCCCCCTGACAAGGGCATTCCTGGCATGCAGAAAGGGCAGGATGTGGGGCAAAGGTGCCAGCGGATTTAGCTCCTGGAGAGGAAGGGAAGGCCTTTCCAGAGAAGGCGACAGTGGCAGACCATAGGACAAGCAGCGGGTCCTTCACCTCTGGTGACTCTCACGAGTGCTTAGAGACCAGGCCTGGGGGCTAAGGCCTGCCCAGGCCCAGCCATGCCTTGGAAAACTCACCTCCCAAGAGGAGCCCATGGGGGACACAGCAGCTCTCCACAAAGTGTCTCCCCTCAGTGAGCAATTGAAGGGTTGTGTGGCCAAGGACATCACAATGTACTCTGTCTCTCCCGACTCTGTGGTAACTTTGTATTCCTGCACTAAAATGGCATCACACTCTAAGTGGTCCTTTCTGGAGCCATAAGTATTCATCCCAGGCCCTCCAAATGGATATGAGAGAAAGATTAGGGTACCCTAACCTTGAACATGATGTGGTGCTGAAGGATCAGCACTGGACTGTGAAGCATAAGGTGATCAGTTCAAATCCACCAGCTGCTTCTTGGAAACCTGGTGGTGGTGGTGTACCTTGGAGTCGATTCCGACTCATAGCGACCCTGTAAAGGGTTTCCGAGACTGGAAATATTTACAGAAGCAGAAAGCCTCATCTTTCTCCCGCAGACCCGCTGGTAGTTTCAAACTGCTGACCTTGAGATTAGCAGCCCAATTTACTAATCACTACGCTACCAGAGCTCCTTTGGAAACCCTGAAGAGGGTGGCTATGAGTCAGAATTAACTCAACAACACTTACCAGCAATGACAGCCTTGAACCAGGAACCCTGATGGTGCAGTGGGTTAGGCACTGGGCTACTAGTGTTAAAGTAGGTAGTTTGAACCCACCAGCTACTCTACAGGGTAAAGATATGGCAGTCTAGTTTCATAAAGATAGTTTCAGAAACTTTATGGGGCTGCCTACTCTGTCTTACAGGGTCAATATGAGTTGAAGCAACTGGACGCAGTGGGTGGGTGGGTTAACCTTGAACCCTGACTCAAAGTCTGACCTTCTGTTCTGAGCAATCTCAACTCTGCCCAGAGCCTAGCCCAGCAGGAAGTCAAGGCTGCTACCCTAGATGCTAAATAACTCAGAATATTTGCTTCCTTGACCCCTTCCTGTGTCAGGGGTCCTTCCCTTCCCCCGTTTCACCTGGGAAATTCCCTGGGACTTGTTCAGAAGGGGCAGAGGCAGGCAAGCACACCAAAAGGCAGGTGGAAATAGGCAAAAGCAGAGCGAGAGGGTCAGGTGACTAGAAAGATGGACAGACAGACACATAGATAACTGTAACTGGACAGGGCACTAGAGGGATGGAAGCAGGTAGGTGAGAGATGGACAGGCCAACTCACACATAGGTAGAAACTCAGTTGGGCAGAGAAACAGCCAGACAGGCAGAAGAACTGCTGGACATGCAGGTGGACCACCTAAGAGACCCCCAAGAGCAGAGGCCTCTCTGGGGATGGCAGGGGGATTCATAGTAGCATAGTTTCCAGGGAGTGGAGGGCTCTCTCTCGGGCACCTCCGAGCGTCCCAGCCACAGGCCCAGCCTTTCAACTGATATCTGCGGGGCCTCTCATGTTCCCGACTGGGTCAGGCTGTCCCCCAAGACTGAGCTCTGAGCTGCCAAAATTCATTCTTTACATCCAAGAGGGGTCAGTGTTTTTGAAAGTTGTAGGAGCCTGGAGAAGGGGAGGAGGGGCCAACAGCGTCATTGTTTCCTAATCTACCCCTCCCCTCTTTCTTTCCCCTGCGTCCAGAGCCAGGCCTGGTCCTGAAGCCAGCTAGCTGGGCAAGCGAGCAGGCCAAGCCGGCAGTGCAGGCGGGGAGGCCCCATGAGCCCTGGGACGTTGAGGGTGAATGGGGAAGACAGAATGAAGACAGATAAAGTCCAACAGAGCACATAGTGTCAGAACCCATGTGGGCCACAGGACCCTAAACACCTACAATCAGGGGCCAACCCTTGGCTGCGGTAGGAGCCATCTCCAAGGGGCTGGCAGGTGGGAGCTCATCGCGAAGTAGCGTCAGAGCTGGGTAGGGGGTGGCAGAAAGTGTGTGGGACTCTGTGTTTGGGATGGTAGAGAAGGGAAGAAAGTGGAGCCCCACTTAAGTAGTTCCAGACTTTAGGGGAAAGGACTGGGGGAAGAAGAGGCTGGATGTGAGGGGTACCTGGGAAAGAGTAGCAGGTGTTGGAGACCAGGATATGGAAATAAGAAGTTGAGGGGGGCGGGAAAAGAAGCCGTTTCAAACAAAGTACAGAAGTTAGGGTCAGGTTCAGGGTATAAAAAACAGGGCTCACGCCTAGCGGGGAAAGAAATAGGGGTCCATCATAGAGGTGGGGGGAAGGAGGCGGATCCCTGGCGGTGCTCACTCCCCAGGAAACCCAGGTTCGGGATGGGGCTGCGCAGGGTCGCGGAAGGGGCGTGGGGTCGCAAACTCACATGAAGACGTGGTAGATGAAGGCCCAGCCACGGGGCCGCTCCAGCACGTTGTAGACCCAGTTCTGCAGGCGGCGGTAGCGCTTGTGCGCGGCCGAGGAGCGCTGACCGCAGGCGGAGCCCGAACCGGAGCCCGGCCCAGGGAGGGGCGCGCCCGGCGGCAGGGGGCTGCCCAGGAGACCGTGGCGACGCGGGGAGCCGCCCCCGCCCGCCTCGCCCTGCTCGCTCTGCACAGC